TTTTTGGGGAATACCAGTCGTTCGTGGGTGGGTACCCTGCCCGACACGGCGTGGGGGACGGCCGCGTCGGCTTTATCAAGCTGGGCGAGGTACTGGTGGGTTAAGTCACTCGGACAAAGGAAAGCAGAGCAGGGCGTGAGGTTGAGCGTCACACCTGTGCCCGCCCTTCTGCTGCAAGATAATTTTTTCTGTCAGGTTACGTCTTTCTGATTGTGTCATATGTACTGAGAGAGGAATTCAGGACGATTATTGCTCTTTCATCTTCCTCGATATAATGGGGGTAGGGGTTGGGTATTTCCCATAGGTCAAGCCATCGATTGGGGGTTTCATTTCGAGGAGAACAAGGCTTGATAGCACCTTCTTGTGAGGAGGAGGAGAAGGGGAAGGTGGTGACAAAATTGAGGAAGGCAAATGAATGCCCCCACCTCATCACCTCAGGAGAGAGGTCAACAAAACACTGTTCCTCACAGGGTGCATCTCCAAACGTCGCCTAGTATGTCCATAATACTGATTTAAACCACCAGTACTTGGCCCAGCTATCCGCCGCGGAAAAAAAATAGAGTAGAAACGTTTCTACTTGGATGAATTTGGGCGCTCCTGTAGTGGCCCGTACGTTTCCTAAAATCGTGGCGCGTTAAGGGACACTACTTTAGGAAGTACTGGTGGTTTAATTTATTGATAAACTTGATTTAATTTATTGATGACGGTAGACTAAGTGCCACCACTCTCTGGACCCCCCCAGTCCCCCTTGCATGATCCCCCACTTCCCATCCCCATCCCCTTCGTCTACAAATCAGGCCAGCCAGAATTACCACTGTGAAGCTACCACATAGGAATCTACCCAACATAACTTTTGGCAAGACTAATGTCCCAGTTATATCTTTCAAACACTGGCATGGGAGGGGCAGGTCAAACGCTGAGACCTCGCTAGCACAGGGGCTGGTGTAGACCAGTGACCGTTCCTCTGCAACTTTACAAACGGACAATCAGTTGACCATGCAGTTATTTGTTCTTATAAGGTTTTGATCATGTAAAGGACGCTGGACCCGGTTTCCAGCAGGTGAAGCTCCCCACCAATAGATGGAGTCTCCAAGAAGGGGGTCACTTTAAGAGGATGCTCTTACCACCTTCCAAGCGGTGCCCCTAGAGGAGTTTAAAAACAAAACAAAACAAAAAGACTAAGTGCCGCAACAAGACCGAACCCATGTGGTAAGCAAGACTCCAACCTCTCACACCATCTACACACTCGATAGTGCAACACGCAGTTTCAGGCCATCCTTAACATTAACTGGGGTTGCAATATAGCTGGCCTAGAGACTAACCCTCGCTGATTAGCCCGAGTAGGGGCTTCGTTAGACACTCCTCGGGGACGTGATTCCAAGGATTTCGTCTTCGTTCCACCTGTCCTCGGAGATGAAATCAGAAATGAAAATGTGAAAACACTCCGAGGACAAATCCTTGGGCTCCGAGGATTTCCCAGCCAAATCGTCCTCGGCTCCAAAGGACCTCGCGACTCGCGTGGTCCTTTGGGGCCTTAGGATCCGTGTTTCACGGAGAGGAGAGGACATGCACGTAGAGAGACGTTACATTCGAGAATTCGGATCGTGGCGGCACCCTATTGGCTGAACACCTGAAGCACAACTTTGTTTCTTTTTTTTTTTCTTTTTTTTCTGACATTGCTCCGAGGATGAGTCCTAAGGCCAATGCTCCGAGGATGAGTGGAACGAAGACGGCAAAAACCCTAAACTTTTCCGAGGACTCATCCTCGGAGCCCGAGGATGCCCTTAGGAGTCTCTAATGATGCCCTAGTGCTAATTCGCGGTGAACCTGCCACCTTGACTGCGCAGGCTTGCTTCCCAAACCGCGATGAAGCCACCACGGTATCACGGCACTCCGGGGATGCGCTTACACAGTGCTCCACCATTCCGACAATGGTCCAATACTCAATGACATGTTAATCAGCACTGCGGCTCTATTCTCAATACAGCTTCTTTTATTTGTTTACTTTTTCTTTTTAACATCCACTGGCAGTGCTGTCGGAGGCTAGGCGTGTACCCCGTACAAAAATAAAATAAAATTGTACTCGCGTACTATCCATAGTACGCAAGTACAAAACCAGCATTGTACTCTTTTGTACTCAACCCGCGTTGAAATGTTTCGCGGCTTTTAAGCCCCCCCCAAAAAAAACAAAACATGGGGCGACTTGATGGTGTAATACAGGCAGTCTATGGGGGTAGGGAATACGCTACCAGTCGGGTTTAGGGGTCTGGCCACACCAGCCGCTGACACACCCCGACCCGCTACCAAAAAAAAAAAAAAAAATTAAATCCCTTTTTTTCATTGGAAAACCGCGTTTGTACGAGGGGTGTCCGTTGTACGCTTTCAAACAATCCTACCACATTCAGACCTTTTCTACGCTGCATAGAAGCCATTACTTTACGTTTAGCTAGTACTAAAAAAGCAACTCCTAGTAAAGGGGTATCATTATTCCAAGTATTTTGGCTAAAATCATAGTAAAATGCCAATCATATACAATTTCATTTTGTTTGTTGTTTTTTAGATGTTGTCAACACATGAAATGAAACAAGCCGCTTCTCAATTTATCACACATACTAAAGATTGAAACCCCACCTAGGTACGCCTAGGTCGGAGGTGATATGAGCATCCCCCGATAGCACTTCCCGCGATGGCTCCTGTCTATTGGTGGGAAGCTGCTTTTTTTTTTTTTTTTTTTTTTTTTTTCCATGGTGTTGCAGAGGCCAGTCACTGAGTACACAGTGATCACCTGGAGCAGTAGGCCGTGGGTGTCCTGGGATATGAGGCCACCTCCCATCCCATCCTCACGTCAACACTCCCATCCTCACGTCAATACTCCTAGCGCACCCCCTATCCCACTATCCTACCTAAGTGTGACCAGCACTCAGGACCATTACCCTACCAATGGGCAGGTAACTTGGACCGAACAGCAGTGATAGGCACCAGGGCTGATAGGTTGCCCAGCCCTGGTGGAAGCGGAATTTGACGAGCCTTGTCGAACGGGAACTTCGGACGCCAGGCCCAGACAATCTACTACAGGCCCAAAGAGAATCTGGACCCTAGGTTTCAGACAGGGTTACACCCATTGAAGCAGTCTTACCGTCCTTCACCTAGCGGACTGGCCTGAGCGACTTATACCCCTACCCTTACCCCAGGGTCTAAGCCTTATATATAGCCACTAGACAGTTCTACCCGAATATCAGCAGGAACTCCGGTGGCCCATACCTGTCCCTACTGCAGATACTAGACCCCACCCAGTGACTAGACCCCCCCAGTCTGATGGTTGTGTAGTTCGCAATGTATGTGTATACCTGAAGGCTGTCTATGCTTCGTGCATCTATGTATGAAGATGTACAGACAGACTACGTGTGAAAACTTGTGTATGTAGCCCGGAGGTCATGTATAATTCGCAAGCTATGTATATGCCCGAAGGCTGTGTGTGCTCTGTGAATCAATGTATCGAGATGTATAGGCAGCATCATGTGTGTATATCGAAGAGAGAACGGGGTAAGCAGGACAAGGACCCCCGCAAGGTCCGAACCAAGCTCGAACCCGTGACCTTGAAACATGTAATCGTATGACTCTACCATGTGAACGACTAGTGGAAATGGCACGAATGTGTGATATCCCAGACTGGGGAGATCAACAGAACACCCAAGACCAACACCCCCAAGCAACCCATGTGAAACCCAGAACCAACATACAACACCATGAACAACCCTTGGGTGGTGAGCAGGCAGTGTCTGTAATAGTACCATGCGTCAGTCCAAGGGAGTGTATGTCCAGCCGTGCGTCAATCTAACGCCCTGCCGTTGGGAAGCTGCTTCACTTGATGTGTAACGACTTCAAATTTTGTTTTTCTGCAAAAGCTGTGTGGCAACTAGCTACAAGGCTATTAAATTTTGTTATGTACTTCTCTCAGGCTTCCAACACAGTTGTTTTGGAGTGATTCTCTGGAGATTTGTTGGTTGCGTTTAGAGAACTACAAGCCAAACGCCGCTATACCCTCTCTAAATACACACTTTTTTTCCTTTTTCTCTTTTTCCAGAAACGGCATACGCAGGCCACCTAAAAGTTTAAGCTCATTTATAAATGGGTTCTGTCCCCAAAAAGACCCTGGCACTTCGCTGGGCATCCACCTTCAGGTAGCCTATTCCCTATCCCCATAGACTGCCTGTATCACACCACCAAGTCTTTGAGCCGAGTGGACCCCAGTGAGCTCTGTATATGCCCGGAAATCCCACACTTGTTCTGAGGACCTGATCTTTAACGTCTGAGTCTCATCATCAGATGTCCCTGTAATGATGTAGACGTAGTCCGGTGATGACAGCACTTCTGAGTTCGTGTTCAAGCAGATTCGTTGGTAAGTCACAGACATTTCACCCTCTGTTTAAATGTTGGATGTGCAATCTGGCCTCACCCCACCTGTTTCTAACTTGAAATCCATCACAGTCTGCCGGCCCTCTTTGGCAATCTCTTGTTTTTAGCAGCTGGAAGTCATATTTTCATGCTGAAAGTTAGCGATTATGACCTTGGATGTACAACTCTATTAAGTCCTCCAAGCACGTCGTCTGACAGTCAAGCCACAGGCTTTGCACTCGTGGTTGGTGTGGTCCTGCTGGGTACGGCACTCATAATTTTGAGCGCCGGTTGTTTTGTTCATTGTTATAGTAGGGCCCTCAGGCAGGACAGTGGAGTTCCTGTAAGAAGGCGGGAAGGCCATGGCGGCATGCAATATCTTATGGACAACTCGGGAATGGCAGGTGCTCCTTGTGGCCTGGTGAACAGCGGCAGGTCCGAAAATGTTTCTGTATCCATATCAGCAGCAAGACACATACCACCCAGAAGCTCTCTGCCACCTGCTTCATTCACCATCCCAGAACAACCTGTTATACCGGACTCCATTAAACGATTTTCCCTCTCAGAAATACAGAGAGCCACGAACAATTTTGATGGGGGCTACGGCCATGTGTATAGGACAACAATGATGATAGGAGAACAGCCCAAGGACGTCGCCATCAAAGTTATGAAAGGGGAGAGGGATGAGGCCAAGTACAAGCAGTTCATAGCAGAAGTGAAGATGGTTGATTACGTGCGCCACAAACATTTGTGCAGGCTTATAGGCTACTGCATGGAGATGAACAGATGCATTCTTGTTTACCCATTCATCCCAGGTGGAAGTCTGTACGATCGCCTGCAACATGCTGACAGGTCTCTAAGACACCATGCTGTGCCACATCAACAAGCTATTGCAAGGCTGGACTCAAACGGCATCAGAGGGGAGCCTCTGACCTGGATGGAGAGGACGTCTATTGCGCACCAGGTGGGAAAGGGGCTGTGCTACATACACCATGACCTGGAGAAGCCGCTCCTACATCGAGATATCAAGAGCAAAAATGTGATGATTGAGGGCAGCGGCAACTCCCTGCACGCATGCTTCATCGATTTCGGGCTGGCCAGGCCGGGAGCGTTGTGTCGTCAGGAAGGGATGACGTCCAGCCACATGATTAATGGACACACTGTGTTCACAATCGCTGGAACACCTGGCTATATGGCTCCAGAGTATGAGTCAGGGAGAGAAGTGACGGCAAAGAATGATGTTTATGCATTCGGAGTTGTTCTCCTGGAGCTGGTCACGGGGATGAGGGCTATTACGAAGACACCTGAAGGGAAACCTTTCTCCCTGGTCTTCTGGGCAGCACAATGGTTGTCTCGTCCTCGCATACATTTGAGCAATGAGCAGCTGGCAGAGATGGTAGATCCCTGGCTCATTGCCAGAGACTCCTCTCATGAGAGGGAATGGGAATGGGATAAGGTTTACGCGCTTGCGATGCTCGGGTATTGCTGCACACACCTTGATCCCTCACACAGGCCGTCTATGGAAACCGTGATGGATCGTATACGGGCAATCTTATGATCATCGACAAGCCCATGTAGGCAAACTTCTAAGAGTCTTTTGCAGCCTGCAAACCCCACTGGATTGCAGTTATGGCAGTCTCCATGTATGCCATCTCTATGGGCATCCCGTGACCTGCTTGAGATTGCACGAAGGCCCCTTGACCATGCAGGCAGGCAAAGACCCAGGAAGAATCAGCCCCTGGCCAAAACTCCCGAGGGACGGGGTCTTAGGCCCAGTTCAAGCTGTGCTGCAGCAACTCGGTGGAAAATGCGGCCGCGCTTGTCCTCAGGGGATGGGCCCATGAGAAGATCTCCAGCTGGGCCCATGAGAAGACTTCCAGCTCTGTACAAAAATCCAACGGCCAACTCTGAATAAAGTAGTGGGTTACCTTATTCTGGGGTTGGGGTGGGAGTACTCACACCAGCGGGGGCAGATCAGGATAAGGTTGGCAGAGGCGGACTTTGGGAGGGAACTGTATGCCTCTCTGTGTTAGCGGGGGGGAAGGTGGGACTGTCCCAAGTTGGGCCTGTTATGGCTGCCTCTCGGTAATCCATCTCGGCGGAGGCAGCTTCGGGACAGGGTGGAAAGGAGGGGAGGGGGAGATTAACCGTAGGTGTAACATTATCATCATCCATGTTATACCATGCATCCTGGTTTTCTGAAATGCTGGGCGGCATCTGGCCTACTTCCTCATTCAGGATATAGATTTCAGAGATGATCGAATCAGCACCGATATCTGCAGAGTTGCCTTGTTGTGTGCCCCAGGTTTGTCGATGCCAGAACAACGCTGGCCGGAGCTGGGGCGTTGCCCTGTAACCTGCAGTGGCAGGGGTATGAGTCCTTGTAGAGAGATCTGGGGTTTCGCTGAGGGAGGAAGGCAATCCAAGTGACGAACTGGGGGGGCTGCCTTGACGTCCTATAGGGCTAGGAATAGTCTAGGTGGCGAGAACAGGTCAGCTATGGCTGACATTGGTTAGGAGGGCATAGTCTCTGAGATGTAAGGTTTTGGCATAGGGAGGGCTAGGCGGTGCTCTAGGAGTTGGAGGCCAGTGGTGCTGATATAGCATAGTCTTCTAATTTTTTACCATAATCACCATCAGCATAATCATCTTCATCAACATCATCATCATCATTAGTATCATTATCTCATCATTGTTATATTAAGCTTTCTGGTGTTCTGGAATTTCTGGACAGCATCCAGTTTTCTTCCACATCCGGGATATAGGATTTCAGAGATGGTCGAACCCGGACCGATATCTGCAGAGTTGTTCTTTTCTGTGCCCCTGTTTTGCCCACGCCAGAACGACGGTGGCTGGAGCTGGGCCGTTTCCCTGTAACCTGCAAAGGCAGGAGCGTGAGGCCTTGTAGAGAGATCTGGGGGTTGCCGAGGGAGGAAGGCAATCCACTGGCGAATCGGGGGGGGCTGCTCGGTGGCGAGGAGAGATCAGCTATGGGTGACATTGGTTAGGTTGGTTTTGTCTCGGATTTACAATGTCCTGGTACAGGGAGGGCTAGAAGTTGCTCTAGGATTAGGAGACCAGAATTGTTGATATAGCATAGCTTACTACAATTAATACAATTTTTTATCACCATCATCATCATCATAATGGAGGGCCATCCTTACCGATCTCATTACCCTTTTGCCCAGCTATGGTTTCAGTGGCACCTGTCACTGTATTCACCCGTCTGATGACTTGGTTGTTTTGATCGGCAACGTAAAGATAGATTCCATCCCAGGAAAGGGACTCAGGTCCAATGCTCGGGCCATGGAATCGAGCCTCAGCACCGGTTGAACTATCTGCAAAGCTCCCATTATCCGTATCTCGTATACTTGGGCCCGCTAGGATTCGCGTATTCTCCAGGGAGTCCATGGAAACAACGATGATGCTATCAGTTGATGCGATAAAGAATGTTTTATTCTGTGGATCTTTGGCCAGTGTGTAAGGCTCTCTCACCGTCATTGAGCTCAGCTCCACTCCACTTGTGACATTAATCTTGCGTATAAGATTCTCGCTGCGGAACGATACAAGCACACTTGTCTCGTCAACCACCAGCAGCCCACTTACATTTGTGAATGGTCCTGCAAACTGGGAGATGTTCCAGGAGAACCTGGAGAAATTAGACTCGTCTGACTCGTGCTCGCTGGCATGGAGACTGCCATTGATTGATGTGGATTGGGTCGCTCTCATGAGGAGATGAGATGTTGAAGCACCTGCCTCCTTCTCATGATAAAAGAGGGTTTTATGGTTTGGAGATAGATCAAGGTCTTCCTTCAACGATATGTTCCATGCTGGATCTGCTGATTCTGGGTGGAGTTCACCAAGGTAAGTTAGGAGATGAGGGTAAGTAATGTTTATGGGGATGACACTGTCGGGAGCTTGAAGAAGTTGTCGCCACCGAAGATCCTGGTTGGTTGGCAGTCGTGCATTATCCGCCATACCAACACCACCGCTGCTGGCAATGACACCAGCGCATTCCTGCGGTTTACGATGAGGGCTCAACCCCAGATGAACAAGCATCATGCCCACGATATGGTCACCCCCAGTGAGGGAAGGAATACATGTGAGGAGAAACAAACAAAGGATTACAAGTGCCAGAACCATTCTCCTGAACACTGTGGCTCCACCTCCTCTTTGTCTCCTGGCATGGTCAGAGCAGTAGTCCTCTTCATGTGGCTAACAATATTGTAGCAGCAGCTGTGATATTCCATATGCGGGTGAATTGTGTTAGGGGGAAGATGGAAGCTCATCACTGACGTGAAAATATCCGCGCATCCCCCCGCTCGCAGGCCCCAATATCTTGTAGAATTAAACCAAGGGAAAAAAAAGAAAAAGAAACAGGTTTCTGGTATCAAGGATGGACAGGTTATTGGATGACCTGCTGAATACCAGACTCTGTGTCAATAACAATCGGGAGGGACCTTGGGGGAGCGAGCTACACTGTCCATAATGTCCGCTGCTGTTGTGGCCAGCACTACGAGACCCTGTTAGTGACACTATCTTATCCCTAGTCGCCAAGCAACACTCCACAGGCAATAGGGCAATTTGGTCCTTACTATTACCGTTTTTTTTTGATACAGCGATGAACTTGCAACCAAGGGAAGCTTATATTCTGGAAGAGTCTTCGGCATGGGTTTAGGGTTTGGGGTGTAATCCTAAGTCAGAGGTGAGCACCATGCGCTCGACCTTGCTATTTCCGACCTTAGAGGGTAAATTTCTCTCTCCCATTACACCTCTGGCACTACACCATATTTGGTTCCGTTCTTGTTCTCCACCCTTCTTGTTCTGATGCACCTCTTGTGCCACTTGCGGCATTATCTACTTGGCAGACAACGAGCCGAATTCGTCAGTCATTTCTCACGATGTGTTCCTTCTGAACTTTGCCCAGTACAGTTACTCGTCTTACCCCATAAAGTCATTGCCCATCTATTGGATTGTCTCAGAAAATGCCGGCAACCATTAGATCGGTCTTTCACTTGACCTGCACTGTCATGACACATGCCCTGTGATAACAGTCGTCATTGAGGAGGGCATAATGAAGGATAAACATCATGTGACCCGAACGATGATACAGAGCAACAAAGTCGACAGTGGCATTTCTGAAGGACGATTGGATACACAGCAGCCAATGTAGCTGAGTGCACACCTCAGCTCCCTTGTCCAGAGATACACATTCATTACACCGGATGTTGCATGAGATGCCATCGGGTAGTACCCATCGGACAGCTCCTGAGCAAAAGACAGTCCATGTTGGTCCCGATATTGGATTTATTGAGCCCTTGCCCATCAGAACAAAAAGACACGTCAAGTAACCAACCAAATATTTAATCATTTAGCAGCCCGTCTCATGACAGAAGCAACTGGCCTTGCTTGTTCTTTCTGCATTCTGTGTTAGTTTGTTTATCTCCCTGATGGTACTTTTCTGTCATGTGAATGAACAAACAATCGAGCTGGGAACTAGCAGGCAACTGAACCAAACAGTCAAACGCACGAAGCGAAAATAATCAGAGCAGACTGAACAAACGACCAACAAGACAATCCAAACGGGCAAAAAATTGAAATAAACAATTCAGAAGTGAAAATTATTAGAAAAACCAACCGACAAGTCAGCAAACAAACAAAGAAACAAAGGAATTAAAAAATGCACAAAAGGAATTTGCATACATAACCAAAGAAATCCGAATGGTCGAGGGATTGCTCATCAACCGCTGCTGATGGTGTTCATCTTTTTTTTAAAAAGGGGGCAGCCCCAGGGTGTTGTAGAGGCCAAGGACCAGACCCGCTGTGATTGCTGGTAGCGGCAGCAAATGGTTGTCCTGGCAGGATAGGCCACCTACTCTACCCAGCCACAAGTTAGTACTCCCAGTGCACCCCCTGTCCCTACTATCCTGCCTCAGTGTGACCAGCACTCAGGACCATCACCCTACCAATATCGAGGGCACCAAGGCAACAGTAACAAACACCAAGGCTGGGCCAACCTCCCAGCCCTAATGGAAGCGGAAGCGGACGAACCTTGCCGTACGGGAACTTCGGACGCCAGGCTCATGCAATCTTCTACAGGCGCAATTCAGTGAGTCTACCCAGCAGGATTACCTAAGCAAGGCAGGCCAGCGCCTGCGGACACATCCTACCGTCCTTCCCCTAGCTTACCCAAGGCTAGGCTGAACTCAGACTAGCCGGAGTGACTTATATCCCTACCCTACCCTAGAGCTAAGCCATGCGTGACTAGACCCAGTCATATACCTGCTGGCGCCCCCCAGCCCAGTATCGTAGTTGTGTGTATGTGCGTGTGCCCAGAAGCTATGTATGTTTGTATGAGCCCATAGGGCAATGTTTTTTGTCTGCCTGAAGGCTATGTGTGCTCTACGTAACTGTATAGCAAGATATATGTGCCTGAAGGCCAGAAATGTGCATTACTATGTAGAGGGAACTATGTGTTCGTTTTGAAGGGACAACAGGCCAAGCTGGACAAGAAACCACCCCAAAGTCCCAAGCCAGACTCGGACCCGTGATCTATGACGTGTGACCTAAAGCTTGGCCAAGAAACCACCCCAAGCCAGACTCAAACCCGTGATCTATGACGTGTGACCTAAAGACTCTACCATTTGAGCGACAATCGCAAACGGCCCCTGTGTGTGATATGCCAGACTGGGAAAATCAACCGAACAACCACGAGCAACAGACACAAGCAACCCACGCAGTATCAAGACCCGATGTACAACACCATGGACAACCCTTGGGTGGTGCGCAGGCAGTGTCTCTATAAGTTTACTGAGCGTGTGTCCAGCCGTGCGTCAGTCTAACACCCTGCCGGTGTCCATGCGCAAGGCCGCAATTAAAGTTTGAACCTGCAACCGCATACCACAATGCGCATTTCCAACCGGTGCTCTAACCACTGAGCTACATCAACTGGATGAAAGTGGGCAGCCCCTAACTGCATTGTGTTCGTCGAATCCAGTCAGGATTTTTAATTCACGTTCTATTTACCAGGAGTTACATGTGCTAAAATGACCCTTTTTTTTTTTTTTTTTTTTTTTTTCTTTTTTTTTTGGATAACACCCCCCCCCGCAGTGCTAGAGGTGCTGACGAAGTCAGTCACCACTAGCACCCGGGGAGAGGCTCCGTCTATTGGTGGGGAGCATCACCTGCTGGAAAATGGGTCCAGCGTCCCTTTACAATAAGAACAGCATGGATGATGGAAATTGACTGCGAAACCTGCCAGCATTGATTGCTCTGGTATCCAGAGGATTGACTGTGCAGGTAATTATGGAGGGGGAGGAAACCTCTTCACCCTTATACCAGGGGCCAGATATCTACTACTGAAAGGCTAGTCCCTCCCTCCTTTCTTGAATTGCTGAGCAGAACGTAATACCAACTTGCCTTTTGTCCTCAGTCTCTCCCATACCATCCCAGCCCAACCAAGCAGTTTGAAGGGGGGGGGAAAGGATCGGGGAAGTCATCGCTGGGTCTCATGGGGATTGATGCATCGATCTTAGTCCATTCGTGAAAAAGGAGCCGGTAGTCCCTCACTAAATCCCTCCTCCCTTGTCCCTCCTCTAGACCTTTTAGTCCGCCTTTCCATTCAATTTCCCCGTTTCTCCCCCCATTGTCCCCCCTGAGCCAGCTCAGGCTAAAGTCCTGGATTTTTTGTTGGATGTCTTTGGGTGTGTGTAATAACTGGATTTGCTTCCTGGTTTTCTCCCATTTTTCTCTTATTTCTGTTTGGATATGTTGTTGTATGCTTTCCGTGAAGTCTGGGCCTTCCAGTCTTGCTCTTTCCATTTCATATGTGCAGCGCCGTCTCCATAGGCCCCACCATCTCCACAGCCACACCACACCGGGGCACTGAAGAAATATGTGTTCAATTGTTTCTGGCACTTTTCTGGAGGGGAACGCATCGGTGCAAAGCCTACACCAAGGCAGGGCTTGCCCTCTTTGTTCCAGGTTTGTCCTGTCTATCAGCCAGTCTATTGTCGGCACGCAGCGGTGCTCAAGTTGCCATTGCAGCGAAGCAAATTTTGCCGGTTTTTCCTTGACCGTTTTGAACAACTTTATATCTCTTAGCTTGCCCTTGTCGATGTTTAGGTGGTTCATCCATCGCGCCTCCACTCGATCTCGAAGGTTTATTCTCGGCCTGAGGAGCCTGAAGGTTGATTTAACTGTAAGACCTTATAATGCCCTGGTGATTTTCTTGCCCCTCCCCGGCGAAGTTGTCCATGTCCATTCCACGGGGTCCAGGCTGAGTTGGTGGATCGGGGTTCGGGGGCAGTAGGCGGTCCATTGCTCATTTTCGTGAAGCACTCTGATTCTGAATAGATCCTCTTTCTGTTGTAGTATTGTTTCTTCTGGAGAAGTTCCTTGAAGGATGTTGTTCCAGCCTATTTGGAAGAGGTTTACCCTTAGTGAGCCGTCAGGTTCGCAGTGGACTATGCGGCCCACCTGATGTGGCCGATCCCTCAGCGCCACCCAATCCAGTTCTTGAAGGGTGGGGCCTTTCCTCAGGACCCTCCACCATGCCAGGGGGATCTTTTCTATTATGGCTTTTGGGGCATCCTCCGGGCGGTGGCAGTGGCAAAGTCTCTTTCTTAGCTGGCCCGGGTCGATCCAGTTTCTTTGTGCTTTGTCCCATATATCCTTTATCCTTGTTACCCCCCGCCTTATCCAACCTTGCCATGGGGAGTCCATACAATGGAGGGTTTGGCCCTTTAGATCCATTATCCACCTGTTCCCAAAAAGCGGTTGTCATGCCACTTCTTCCCATCTCTCTGGAGGAGTTCTATCCAGTAGGGACAGACTTCTCCATGTTTTCAGGAGGTCGGGCCAAAAGGGGTCATTGCGCAGGTAAGCCCTTGCTGCTTGCCAGGGCGAGTCTGGGGGGAGATGATCGTGCTGCATACCTCTTCTTGGGATGGGCCATGTCCTGTTTCCTAGCCACATCAGGGGGTCGCTCCCCTCCGCTATCTGCGGTGCCAAACGGGAAATTTGTTCCAAGGCCAGCCCCTTCCACGAGGTGTCCTGGTTGAAGAGTAGGCGTTTGAGCCATTGCAGCGCCAGCACCTTTGTTTGTAGCGCGGGATCTATAATACCCAAACCTCCTTTTGATTTGGGTTGGATTATGGATTGCCAAGCCACTCTGCTGATCACATTTTGTAAAATGACCCTAAGGCTTGGGTTTTGTTATAAATGGCATGAGGAGTTATCTGAAAATTGAGGCTTTTGTTAACCGCATCTCTCGGCCACATGGGCTGGGTACTGCTGATCATCGCAACCTCCACCCTTGTCATTCTTCAGGAAGGATGCAGTGGCGCGTTCGATCCAGATGAGCTTGTAGATTGTTTCGACTGTCCTATCCTTCCAGTCACGGATTATTGTGTTTTCTTGGGGGAATAGATAGTCTGAGGTAGATACTGCATGCAACAAAACCTTTCGGGTTCTGGAATCACAATCTGTCCATGCCCCATACTCTGCGTTCAAGGAAAAAAATTATGTTGGGTACTTTCATCCTGGCCTCAGCCAGCTAGTAGGCCGGACATTCCAATCGATGCGTATGTATGTTTTCATAAAAAAAACTCATACGAAGCTTGCAAAATTTCGGCAGAAAAATGTTTATTGATGATCTGCTGTTGATCACAAGGCACACGAAAGATAAAAGGAGGGAAGCCAAGGAAAGATTAAAAACGACTACAAGATTTTATCTACTGCTGATCACATGGCACAACAAAGATAAGAGGAGGGAAGCCGTAGAAAGATAAAAAAAGATCGCGGCATGTTATCACGAGAGTTGATCCTACAACGAACTGATGATGAAAATAATGTTGTGGATTTTCTCGAGACAACAATCATAGCAACAACTAATCCAAGCAAGATCCTATGCGCTCATAAATTCAAGAATTTCGATTGCATCTGGATCAAAGAAGAAAGCAAGAGAATAAAAGATGACATACATAACTGGTACATTACACCGAATAAATGAGAATACGTGAAACCAGCAATGTTGATAATGAGTATGCTCACATTCCATAGGAAACTGCGGGCGCAGGAGTTTCCGAGTTTCCTCTTCATAGAAACAGTAAAGGAGGGATGGAACACAAGAGATCACTAGGTTATAGATGACCGCAGTCACTTATCATAACAGTAGTGACAACATTCTAAGTAAACAGTGGATGGATTCTCCCCACCCGGCCCTCCCACCCCCCCTTCATCCTCCAATCTGGGTGTTTCATTGGTAAAAGTGGCATCTCAGCAAGTAATTTGCCACGGACATTGTGTATCAGTAAGCTCACAGCCTTTGGACACACAAGTCATAAACAATAGAAGCTCTTTTCTGGTCCCCCTGGGTCAAGCAGAAGTGAATAAGCCAAAGAACGTGGATATTTTTGTCATGCCCGGTGGGTGTGCTCCGCACGTGATAGTTTCCCATCATACGGCTCTCCGCCACGAATCATCGTTCGATAATGTTCTCGATAAACTAGTAGGTTTATATAGGAACACGCCCGTCTCAGCACATTGAAACTGTGGACCAAATTTCTTCAGCGTGCTTTTTTTGAACTTAGTGCGATATTTAAGCGCTAAGGTCAATGCACAAGATTCCTTCATTAAGTGAACCGGTTGGATGTCATGGAGAAGAGAGGGATGGTGAAGAATGTGAAGGAAACACAGTAGTGGGCAGAATAGTATGTCAAGGAACTGTGGACACACTAAGCTCAAGGGATGTCTTGTTTCTTGACGAAGATCTGCGTCCCAGAAAGCCTGTAAAGCCTGAAGGAACACAAGAACTCAAGGAAATTATTTCCGACTCAGGGCCTCGCCACACCAATGTCGAAAACTGCATTGTCGACATTTTTTCTTCCCCACAGAGACAGGCGAAGGAAAAATGTCGAAACCAGTTCGACATTTGTCAGAGGACAACCTTTTGACATGGGTGGAGACCGTCAGCCTGCAGCGGGCCGATTTTCAACATCACCGAATGGACGTGTTGAAAGACGCGCGCATTTCGACATTTATCAGGGTTGGGGAACTGACGCTCTTTCGACATCTTCTCCTTGCGTTTCGACAGCAGTGTCGAAGAACGCAGCCTTGGAGGGGAGAAAATGGGACCTCGCTCACCTGGGACTGGCCTCCTGGGCATTTTGTTTTCCGGTGATGTGGCGGAGCTGTGCGGGATTGTGTGCCCTCTCGGCGCAAACCCGGGGGTGGGGGGTGGGGGAGGGGGGGGAGAGGAGGGAACTTCATGAACGAAAGCGTTGTATCCTTGGCAATACTCCGGTGGGATACAGACACTGTGGGGGTGCATTATGGTTGTGGCAACCAAAACGCACCCCCACGGTGGTTGTATCCGACCGGAATATTGCCATGGATACAACCCTTGCGTTAGTGAAGTTCCGCCCTGGAGGGGTGGCACTTCATGAACGCAAGGGTTGTATCCTTGGCAATATTCCGGTCGGATAGATACACTGTGGGGGTGCTTTATGGTTGCTAAGAAACTAGTGCATATTGAAATAAAATAAAATAAAATAGAGAACACAAAACCCACCGAAAATTGGACCACAAAAAAAAAAAACAAAAAAAAAAACAAGCGCATGGCTTGGCGACGCTCGTCTGCCACGCAATTCGTGGGCGAGACTGCGCGCCGGCGTGCAGCTTGTCCATGGCTACCAGTTCGGCAATTGTGTGGCGAGGATGCGCGCCATAGTAAACGGTGTCCTCTTGCGGATGTCTGGCATCTTCTACCTCTCCGCAGCGCATCCTCATCTCGATCTCTCCGGGACTGCCATGGAATAGCACGTCAGTGTGTACGTCCTCATCTTCTACCCCTCCGCAAATGTGAACGGAAAAAAAAAAAAAAAAAAAAACACTTGATCTGTGTATCTTTTCACGTTTTCGGTCGAATTCAGTCGCATATCCAACGTCCCCCCTCCCCCCACCCTCCCCATGCTCCGCCCGTCTTCCGCAACGTCGCATTGAAAGTGTGCCGCTATGGATGGCTGTCGGGAAGTGCCGGGACATTGGAACCTTGGGGACAGAGGCTTCGACAAATTCCCCGCCTCCGCCACACAGCAATGTCGAACGAAGGGCAACCCGTGCAGCGCCTCTACATCCCTTGTGTTCGACATTGGTTGTGTGGCGAAGGCGGGGAACTTGTCGAAAGGCCGAATGTCGAAAACACTCTGACACTTGTCGAAAATTTTGTTGTTTCGACATTGGTGTGGCAAGGCCCTTAACTGGGGAACGCAAGTACCTTCTTCTCACTCACTACCAGGAAAATCATGTGCCTGCCCAACAAAAAAACAAATCTTCAAGACAACAAACAAACAAATGGTGAAAAGGATAACAGTACATTAATCGATGAACATCAGTCTGGTCCGCTAGTAAGGATGATTGATCTCACAGAGAATCTTCACTCACTGAAAGGCAAGCAAGAAAAGAAAATTCGGAAGGTACATTCCCTAATCCCGGGGGTCCCAGAGTTGACTAGTAAGCGCCAAAAATTCCGCCAGAGTCTAGCCATGAGGCCTGAGGAGACCTTGCTCTCAAAGATGGGGATTGTGGTCCTCCCAGTCAGACGTAAAGAAGGGGCTTGGGAGGTGGGTCTTTTTTAACCACCCGATGCTTTATATAGTGAAGTGACAGTGCAGGGAATCAATTCCTCCTTCCTTTCTTTGTCTACTCTCAAAGAGGGAATAGCTGGATAATCCTTTATTAAATCAGACATAATGAAATTTATCAAGGAACAGTTTCCCCCAGGAGGAGTAGCAACACTCACTTTGGCTTCGGAGACATACATAATCGCTGAAAGGAATGTGTATCTCAAGTACGAGATCTCGAAACCGTTAGACCTCCGTTGGTTTGGAAGTGAGAATCTGAAGGAGATTCAAATGCTGAAAATCAAACCAGACAAGTTTTGGTCAGAAACGGACGTGTGTACACTCTTGCTTCGTCTCCTACGTCAAGAAATTCTCAAGGAAGACGGGAGTTTGGATGTAGGTAATTTGAAAGACATGTGAAGGCGATGCACCCTTAATGGATCATTCACTTCACTTTCTTGTTGGGGTTATTAAGATATAAGTCTTAGAAAAGTTAAATGGAAGGAATGAAACTCATCAAAGTGATTGATGCACTAGACAACAAGGACAAAGAATGGAAAGTTATGAGAAGGAATGCAGATTTAGATCTTATATCCCTAAATGTTAATGGATTGACGTCGGCCAAACAAAATGAAAAACAAGCTATACTTGTTCAGCTCAAAGGAATAGATAGTAAGGAATGACCCGATGTTATATGTATCCAAGAAACTCACCTAATGAACACAAATGCTCATAATTATTGTCACAAAGAGTTTTAGCCACATCCATCATATAGAGCCCACGCCCCCAAGCCGAGTAGTGCAAGTGTAGCCATTTGGGCTCCCCCTGACTTCAAAATAGAAGTGATTGATTGGGAGGCCGATCTAGAACAGGGTAGATGGGTATACATTTTAGCAATGCTTGAGCTAGAGGTTGTCAGTATTCTATGTGTGTATGGACCAAATGAAGATGACGACCATCAAGTATTTTTTAAAAACATTTTCCCGCGCCTCTCGGTAGGACTGTAGGAATTCCTGTTACCATTGTAGAGGACTTTAATGCTGCTCCAGACCGGCATCTGGACCGGTGGCACATCCCATCCCCCTGCCCTGCCTATATTGAGTCAAACGAACTATTGATAGCTAATTTATGTCACACCCTCAACTCATATAGAAGGCTTAGTTCCACATCAAAAGCATTTACCTCTTTTAGGAAAGGCCACTGAAGACAAAATACGAAATCTCTCAGCAGCTATAAGGGGCATTGCAAGTTACATAAATTTTTCCTAGAAGTCCTTACCCTGGGCTAGATCATGCGATGTGCTTGGCTATTTTTCCATTTCGTAAGAAACCAGATTAGGGAAGAGGTCCAGAGGATATAACAAACTATACACGTCTCATCTAAAAATGGACTGCTTTGTAAGTTATCTGCAAGAGGTGTGAGAATTATGGAGAGACCAAAGGGGTCTCATCAATAATGATATAAGGTGGTTCAACAACGGTCTAATGTTCTTAGGCAGTAAATGCAATGAATATTCCAAGACGTTAGCATCACAAAGGTATTTAAAGGAAACACAATCGACTACAAGAGCTACAACAAATTGAAACAGAATCAGAAGATCGAGAAGCCTTAGAGGCACTGGCCAACGAAATACAAGTTTTTGAAGACCAACTATTGACCCAAATGGAGTATAGGTGACAAGGACTGAGAATCAAGGGTAAACTTCGACGCGACAATATGGAAAGATCAATGGACGCGTGTTTCTTTGCAATGGCTAGAGCAAGGACGGGTAGGACGGTAATTGAGCCACTGGAAGATCCTTTCAGTTTGGATGCTCCATGGGTCACTTCAACTGCGACATGTGCTAAACTTGCTCGAAATTTTTTTAATGATCTCTTCACTTCTGAGAACAAGTTATCCCAATGAATTTACGTACCAAGGAAGTAGAGGACTTCTTGATTCCCTCACTAAAATATTATTAGAGGAACAAAAAAAAATAATGAAAAAAACCCTGACCAAAGAGCAAATATGAGTAGCCTTAATGCTAAAAGGAAGAGGAGAAATCTTATGGGATCAATGGTCTACCAAGGGAATTTTTGGAGGCTTTATGGGACTCCCTTTCACAAGACCTCATGAACTACTACCAAGCGGTCTGAAGTTTAGAGGAAATGGGGGAAGTAATGGGTCAAGGTGTATTAACTCTACTTTACAAGAAAAGAGCGAAGACTAATATCCGGAATTATCGGCCTAGTACATTATTCACTGTTGTTTACAAATTGGTTGCTAAAGGCTTGGCTGATCATTTATCGAAAGTTATCACAGACATCATCCATCCGATGTAAACTGGATTCATTACTGGAAGAAATATTCAAAATAATGTATTGTTGATTAATGAACTGATTAAACAGACTCGCTAATCAAAACACAATGCTGCTTTCATTTTTATTGATTTTGAAAAAATATATGATCATGTGGACTGGTTCTTTCTTGATAAATGTCTAGAGAAATTTAAGTTTGGCCTTTGCTTTCGGAGATGGGTTCAAATCCTACATGGTAATGCCACTACTAGAGTCATGGTTAACGACAATGTGGCACCCCCTATTCCTTTGCATAGATCGGTTAGACAGAGAGACTCGATCGCTCCCTACCTATTTGTAATTATAATGGAAGCTCTAGCAGCAACTCTTTGTCATCATAAGGATATCAAGCGTATTCAGGTATCCTCCATATCTGAAGATGTCATTCCGGCCTGCTCCCTTTGTGTTGATGATATTTTCTCTCATGGTGGATGCATCTCAACTGAATCTAGAGGAAATTCAAAAAATGACGGACATTTTTTGTCGTTTATCCAATATAAGGATTAATAGGGGAAACAAGACACTTGCGTGGTGGATTCACCATCACCCCAGAACAACCCCGGGTCAAGTGGCTTCCTCTTGACACTCCTATTAGAGTATTGAGAATCCCTCTTTCTGTTGATGGAAAACCAAAGACCAACAATGAATGAATTACTCAAAATGCTCATATTAAACTGAAATTATGGAAGAATAAACACTCTCACTATTTGGTCGTACATTGGTCATTAATAATGTTATCCTAGCTTCAATCTGGTACAAGTCCGCTATTTGGCCCCCGGATAAGGCATCACTTAAAGTATTCTGACAACAGTTAACAACCTTCATATGGAGAGGCAATCATGAATTTAGGAATGTGATTGGTAGAGTTGTCTGACAATCAATAATCCAACCCAAGATTAGGGGTGGGGTAGGGGTCGTTGACCAAGCTACCCAAGCTATGGTTTTATCTATCCAATGGATAAAGCATTTCCTTTTCAACCCACAGACCCAATAGGCAGAACTAGCTTGGGAACAAATTAAACATTTAGCTCCCCAAACACTAGAAAAAGTTGATACCCTAATGTGGTTCGAGAACTGCTCCCGGACTCCTCCTAGGGGCACTCACAAAGGTCAAATAGGGCAAATAACCTATGACAAACATGCTACTAGGAACGATTTATGTAAAGATCCTTTGTGGGTTTCCTTGCTCCAAATTTGGAGAAAGTTGTCTCGGACTGACAAAATTTCCCTTGATAGATGGGAAGAGGTACAACCTCTCTTCAACAACCGATGAATTAAAGATTCATAAGGGTGTGTCCTTCATTATATGGACTCTCCTTGGAAGTGTTGGGTCAAAAGAGGAATCTTGAAAATTAATGACGTGTGGGAGAGGCAGACAAATAACTGGATTGACTCATCACTTTTGAAGGAACATCTCTGTTAAAGTCATTATCCAGAGAAGGCGCTTGAAAGAATAAAATATATAATCCTTCTAGAATGCATTCAAATTCTTCGTAGAGGGCCCAAGCTGGAGATTAATGATTGAGTGACAATAAAAAATCATCCTGAGGCTCATGAAATTAACAGTGAAGAAGAAGAAGGTTCTCCCTGTGCAAAATTTTTGAAGGGACTCTAACACCACATCGTTCATGAAAAAAATGGAAAAAAAAAATACTGCTTTTCTTTTATTTTTTTTTATTATTATTATTTTTAACCGATTTTTATTTTTTATTTTTTTAAATTCGTAAATGAAGTCAAATTCAAAAAAAAAAAAAAGGGTTGTAGGGATTTGCAAACCCTACAATCCTTTTTTTTTAATTTTTATATTTTTTTACGTATTTTCGACCCTAAAAAAAATATCCAAAAACACAGGCTGCGAATTGGGCCTCCTGGCCGCGGCTGTGGCCGACTTTAACGGCTGAGATGGCCAAATTGCCGGTAGCCACGACCGAGGGTGTCACGTAGCCAGAGAGGAACTAATTGAGACCACTTCACATTCTGAAAGATCATGAAAGAAGGTTGAAGGGGAAGGTACCTACATAGAAGCATCTCAGCGGACGTTTGAAGCTACAAGGGATGGAATGTAAGGAATGTGTCCTCAGGAGCCCCTAGACAATATGCATATGTTTTGACTGTGACCCCTAGCAAGCCTCGTGCCCATGCTAAGTGAAGGCGGGCCTGAATATTCACGAGAGACCCTTATCTCAACATTTTCCAATGTGGGTCTAAGACTGTTGTTGTACGCTAATTGGTTGAATTGCAACATGGGCCTCACCTTGGACATTTTCAGAAGCAATCAGGTAATGCGGACACGCTGCTTCGTTAGAGCGCAAGTGTCTGCATGCGCGACTGCTGGTTGGGGCGCGAGCGGGCGCTGAGTGGTGACGGGCGCTACAGGGCCGCGGGGCATTAGAGCCTAGCGGCCATAGCCGGGCTGCAGGGTGCGAGGGCAGAGGAGGGCGGCAATGGTTTTTAGGAGGAGGCACGAGTGTGGGTGGTCAGGGATGATGAGGGGAGGCGAGAGTACGTACGTGATGTATGTGGGAGGTCGACATTGGTGTTGACGCCATGTACATTGGTCTTCAAAGTCAAAGCGAGCCTATTGCATGACCGTAGATAGGATAGGTAGGACTAGTAGAGCAGGATGGGTGTTGTGCTCTAGACTAGAGGAGCGACATTGAATACTTCGTTGGTGTAGCCTGGAGGGTTGAACATCAGCTTACGAGTTCGTTGTATTGCTCTTATTTGGATGAAATATTGGTGCATTTCTGCTCTCTGCTTGTTACATGACTATTTGGACTTCTGCGTGATTTTGCAACTTGGTTTTCTGTATATCGTTCTCGCTCATATTCCTTGTACATAAGAGTACGCGCAACACATTTCGATTTTGGGATACAGAATGATGAAACTTAACTGCAAGGA